AAGAGGTGTATTCTCTTGAATGTGATTGTACCTAAGCTAGAGTATGCAGGAGAGGTATGGGAAGGTAACGAAAAGGCCGTCAAGCAGCTGGAAACGGTGCAGATGGCAGCGGCCAAGAAAATACTAGGATGTTCAAGTACAACGAGCAACACTGTATTGAGAGCAGAATTGGGAATGTACTCTCTTCAAACAAAGAGAGACATGCAGAAGTTGAATTGGCAGTACAAGGTAAGTAGAATGTCGGACGATAGACTACCAGCCATGGTTGACAAGGCAGCTTGGGGAAAAGCAAGTAGAATGTCGGACGATAGACTACCAGCCATGGTTGACAAGGCAGCTTGGGGAAAAGCGACTCCAGGGAAGAAGGGAACCAGATGGGATAAGGTGGTAGAGAAGGTTTGGAAGGAGATAGGAGACGAGGAGGAGACGTTGGACACGGAAGGGTTCGGGGGGTTCAAGACGAAAATCAAGGAGATGCTAGAAAGTAGGGAGGAGGCAACCCTTCGGAAGAAGGTACGAAGCGAAGACCACTTGGAGATATACGGGAAGTTGAATGAAGGGATAGGGATGAAGACGTACTTGGACGGCCCCATGGACTACGCGATGAAGCTGAAAATGCAATTTCGAGTAGGCGATCTGGACTTGCCAGAACGGAGGAAGAGGTATACCAGCTGTAGGAGAGAGGAAGAGGAGGATAGACACACATGTCCATGTGGCAAATCGGAGGAGACCCCACATAATTGGGGAGTGTGAGTTGTACAGGAAGGAAAGAGAGGATCTCGAGGAGGAAATGAGACAGAGAGGGTGTGACATGGACAAGTTTGGTAAATTAGACAACAGCGAAAAAACGATCGCGATAATTGGGGATAGATGGTGGGCAAAAGAGGCCCTAGAGGACGGGGATAAGATGTGCAAGAAAATTGTATGTAGTTTGTGGCAGAAACGTAAAGAGCTCCCAAATGTTGGTGGTGTCTCTAGTAGGGGTAGGAACGGTGCTCCGTCTCGAAAGGGACGCGTGGTCAATGGTCAAATGACTAAGGCAAGCAACAAATGAGTACGCCCCCCCCCACGCCACCCAAAACATCACCCAGCCACCGGCGGCTCCAAAGCTCTCTCATAACCTTCGCCTGCAGGTCCCTAACAGTAGCCCCCCGCGTCCTCGGCGCGCCTCCTCGCCTCCACCAACTCCCCACCCACCCCGCCCCTCGCCGCCACCAGCTCCTTCCTCGCCGCCTCCGCCTCCCCCCCCGCGCGCGGAGGCGCCCCGCCTCCGCCGTCTCCACGAGACCCCTCAGCCAAACTCCTAGCCCGGCGGCCTCGTCCCGAAGGCCGGCAATAACGCCCCCGCATCAACAACCCGCTCTTCTGCCGCAGCGCCGGCAGCCTCCGCGGTCTCGGAATACCGGAGCTTCCGATCCAAGCCTGATTTTCTATTGCCATAGAGATGTGCGCGTGACGCTCACGGGTGTTGGTGTTGTGCCGGGTTTGGCGCTGGACCTTCAGGTCTTTTACACGGATACAGGAAAGGCACAAGATCGTCATGAACCCGCAGGGGGCGAAGACTATGGGTGGTCGCTCACGGCAACCACATCCAGGCAACCCACGTCGATCCACTGCCTATGTCCCCTGCGAGGGCCGCGGAGGTGATGCGGGCTAGAGCGGCGGCATCGGCGGTGATTTCAGCGGCAACGACGGCAGCGCCCGGTGGTCGTGTTTTCCCCGCTGTGGCGGCGGGGAGAATGGCAGGAGCGCCTGCTTTGGGGGCTGGAGCGGTGACATCGGCTGCCGCTCCAGCCACGACGGTGGCGACC